TTGTTTTTGTTTTTTCCTGACACACAAAAAAAAGCTCCATTATTGGCGTGAGGAATCCACACAGTGAAAATCATAAATTCAACAGCCATTTTTCAACTCCACTGAGGGTGGAGGAGGGTTCAGGAGAAATGGTTGAGACTTTACTTATGAACTTGCTAATTTTCTGTGTTATTTTATACGGAATCTCCATTAAACTCCCAAAATTTTGGTTCAATTTACATTTTAGTCCCAAATTATTATTTTTTTTCACAAAAAAGTCATGAAAATTGGCAAAAAATTGCATTCTGACCATTTTCTACCCGTTAGAACCGCTAACAAATTAATTTGGGATTATTTCATAAATTGATCCAAAATATTGGGATTTTTCTGCAAAAAAAAATCTTATTATTTTTATTATTATTTCATTAAAAATGTAAATAAGTATATTAAGACTTTTTTGTAAAAAAAATAATAATTTTGCTTTTATTCTTACTTTAGATCATTCTATTAGCTTTTATTTAATGACTTCGTGTTAGAATACGATACTAAACAATGAGACAAGTATCGCATTGTTTGTTGATTGCATGTAATCATGATTTCATCGTTTTATCTCTTTCTTTTAAGTCTATATATGAGAGAGGCCAAAGTATGTCATCCATAGACCATAGTTAGGTACGTCGTGGTTTAAAACAAATTTTAAACTAGTATTCACTTTTTACTTTTCCTACAGGCTACAGAACAAATAAACACATACAAGACAAAATAGAGTGTTATACATTTTTGTTGAAAATTCACTAATAAACATGAAATTAAACCCAAAATTTTATTTAAAACTTATCTTTTCTTGGAGTCAAATGCTATGTGATAATTTTTAGAATAAAAGATGTATATAATAACATGTTCAACAGTGAAGATATCCTTTATGTATCATATTAAAAACTAAGACTCTTATTTTATATTTTTCCAACATATTATGATTTAGAAACAACTTTATTTGGAATGGAGTAGTGTCATCTGGATATTGTGAATTGTAGGCTGGTTGTCTTGTGTAACATTGTAAAATTTAGCAGGATTTATTCAAAAATTTCATTTCCCTTGAGTATTTTTTGCACACGAAAATTGTGTTAAAAATGGGTTTTTAATAATAATAATAATAATAATAATAATAATAACTAGAAAGGTTACCCCTATGCGGGGGCCAAAAGCTTTCAATGTTGTTTCTGAATCGATAAATATGACAGACGTAGAAAGTGCAAGGATGACAAGCCTGGGCTTTGCCCCGGACCGTTTTGTTCATGTTTTTATGAAAAAATATAAAAGTTTTGACTGCAAGGACCCGAAGTGTGAAAATGGCTAAAGAATTAAAACGGTAGGAATTAACAAGTTTTTAGAAAATGGATCAAAGTTGTCGAACCGTTAAAGTTTTGTGTCTAAACTTTAAATATTAAAAGGTTCCTAAATAAAAAAGGGATCAAAGTTGTCAAACCGTTAAATTTTTGTGGCCAAACTTTAAATATTAAAAGGTTCCTAAAAAATATAAAAATATCGATTATAAGGACCAAAAGTGTCAAAATGGTTAAAAAATGAGGACCAAAGTTGTCAAACCGTTAAAGTTTTGTGGCCAAACTTTAAATATTAAAAGGTTCCTAAAAAGAAAAGGGATCAAAGTTGTCAAACTGTTAAAATTTTGTGGCCAAACTTTAAATATTAAAAGGTTCCTAAAAAATTTAAAAATATCGATTACAAGGACCAAAAGTGTCAAAATAGCTAAAAAATGAGGGTCAAAGTTGCCAAAGTACAAGAACTAATTCTGCCAAAAAAACAACATAAAGTCCAGGGATTAAAATAGACAAAAATTATGGAAGTTCACTATTCATAAGAAATAATTTCCATAATATATAATAATAATAATAATAATAATAATAAGTTTATTTATTTATTTATTTTTTTGCAGAAAAGTCCGAGGTCAATTTACAAAATAGTCTCAAATTAATTTGTTCAAGTTCTGACCATTAAAAAAGGTTAAAATGCAACATTTTGCTGGTTTTAAGAACTTTTTTGTAAAAAAAATTAATTTGGTACTAAAACATAAATTAAACAAAAAATTATAGGATTTTATTGATGATTTTCCTATTTTATATATACAATGTGGTTGACTCTTGTTTTTGTTTGTTATAGTTTATATTGTAATTAGGGATGACAAATTGGATATTCATGTCAGTGTTTTTAGATGACACGGCATGGTACAATATTTTTTATATAACACAAAAGCGACAATACACGATATCGCGTTTTATTTTACTAACTTGAAAATGATCCCGTGTTTTAGTTCATTTAATTTAAAGTTAATCTTAAAAAACACGATAAAACATGTTCATATCGTGTTAATTTCGTATCGAATCTTGAACACAAACACAATACCACACGGCATCAGTTTCATGATTGTCACCCCTAATTGTAATCTTGTTAAATATTAAGCAATTATAAATTTCGAAGAATCTCTAAAGCTCAACAAAACTACAATAATAGAGATTCTAAAATCAATTCAAGTGGCATGAAATGCAACATGAGAATGGTGATATAACATACATTATTTATGATTAGATGAATATTCGCGTATTGTGCATAATATAATCAGGGTCGTTCCAAACATATTTGGGATCCGGGACAAAAACAAAATTAAGGCCCTTCAATTACTAGAAATTTGCATGACCGCTAAGTTAAGATATGAACCAAGTAACTAATTTTTTTAACCGAATGGTTTACAAATTTGTTATTGTTACGTGAAAAAAGGTTATATATAAACTAATTACACAAATTATACAATATATTAAAGTTCTCCATCCTTAAGGATTTGACAAAAATATCCCTTATATATATGAGTGTCTTTGCAATGATTTCTCATTTGTTATTTGTTTTCGTAGAGGCTCAATTTATGTCTTTATATATTGTCTATCAAGTTGTTTACAATTGTTTTTTGTTTTTGTAGAGGGCATCTTTTGCCACTATATGTATTCTTTTATGGACACGTGTTATTTTTATTTGGGATAATGACTTGAAAGGGTAACGAACTTTCGACTTTTGTCACATTTAGTCACTAAACTTTTTTTCGTTATCTATTTGCCATTGAACTATTGAAACTGTTCACATTTTACCCTTATGACCGGCTAAAAAGTTAAATGACTAAATGTGAACAAACTTCCTCTTGTATTATGTTTTAGCAAATTATTTATTTTTATTAAATTGTAGCAACATTTGTTGATGAAGAAATCTATGAAATAGAAAAAAAAAAAAAAAAAAAAAACACACACAAAACACAAAACAAAACAAAACCCTGAAAATATATTTAAAAAAAAAAACAAAAAACCAAAACCGAAATACAAAACCAATGGTTTGACATTTTCCAAAATAAAAAATCAAAATTTTCAATCTGATTTTGGTTTTACAAAAAAATGAACCATTCTCACTGATGTGAATTATGACCATTGGTTTGGCATTCGAAATTTGTGACATCTCATGAATATGTAGTTACAACATCGTCTGAACTCGTAATTCATAGTAAGGGGTTAGAGTATCATCGCATGAATACATAGTTACAACATCGCTTGAACTCGTAATTCATCACCTACAGGTTATGGGCATGCTGGTGTTTCCACTATGTTGTCTAGAATAGTCCGTGATCGCCATCTATACTTTGGTAGATGACTACATCGCCACATTGCTGGTTAAGGTTATGGTATCTCCTTTCATCCTACATCACATATTCATCATCATCTATATACCTAATTATCATCACCTTTCTATCATCACATATATCTAATCATTTTATTTCATCACACACCAACTATTTCATCTACCCATGTTTCATCCGCAACATATTTGTAGATATAAAATAAATATACCGTTTAAATCTTTTAAAACATGTATAAAATCGTTCATCCAGCATGGATAACAAGTATTCAAATAATATGCACACATAACACGTAATTTATATAAAATACTTCATATCTATGTGTAAGATGAAAGTAACTATATCTACCATAAAAAGCCCATAAATGCTTCCTAACTTCGAACCCCAAGGTTTACTCTACTAAAGCTTCATATTCTTGGCTCTCTGAACCTAGAAGGGTCCAGATCTATCACACCAAAAAGCTCAAGATAGCTCTTCCTCTCACTCTACACACTCAAGCTCGCTAGGGTTCTCACTTATGGGAAATGTAGTGGCAATTGAAGGCCATACGTGCCTTTAAATATGGCTCGGGCCCAAAGATTTAGGGTTTCTGCCAACAGCGTAGACTCGTCGAGTCGCCTCACCGACTTGTCGAGTCCATTCATTAATCCGAGTCATCAGTCGCGACCTTACTCGACGAGTTGAGGCGTCAACTCGCCAAGTCTCTCTTCTTAACTCAAAAGAAAAATACTTAAATTATGATACCTGGAAATCCGGATGTTGCATTTTGTTTTTTTTATTTCATAAATTTCTTCATCAACAAATGTTGCTACAATTAAACGGAAATAAATAATTTTGCTAAAACATAATACAATAGGAAGTTTGTTCACATTTAGTCATTGAACTTTTTAGAGGGAAACAAACTTTCGATTTTGTTCACATTTAGTCACTAAACTTTTTTTCGTTATCTATTTGCCACTAAACTATTGAAACTGTTCACATTTTACTCTGCCGGTCATAAGGGTAAAATATGAACAGTTTCAATAATTCAATGACAAATAGATAACGAAAAAAAATTTAGTGACTAAATGTGACAAAAGTCAAAAGTTCGTTACCCTTTCAAGTCATTATCCTTTTTATTTTGCTTCACCGTTTTGTTGCCCAATCGGCTTTTGATTTCTGTATACACACGCGACATTGATTTCATCGAGAGTAGATAACACTTCCGGTTGCTTCCTCACTTTACCTCAGCCGCTTCTCTTCGGTTTTGCCTCACCGTTTTGTCGACCAATCAGGTTTCCAACTCCACCGCTTTCACTGTTTATTCTCGATTCTTCTTCACTGTACCCTGATGATTTCGTCTGCAACACACCTCCTCCGTCCTCACCGTCGGTGGCTGCTGCTTTTATCCCTAATTTTGGAAGTCGATTACAAAGATTCAAGATGCATCGTACTCTATCTTCTCCACCGAAATTGCAGAAGTGGTTGATTGTCATCGGTTAACTCCACCGTTGATTCTTGGTAGTCATTTCGTCTTTCTGCTTTGCTTCGTATGTGATCTTTTTTTGACTTCATGGATTTGACCTACTTGCCAGGAATGATGAAGGAACTGTGCCGGTGGTGGAGATTCCCAACAACAGTATCAGCTCTCTCTCTCTCTCTCTCTCTCTCTCTCTCTCTCTCTCTCTCGCTCGCTCGCTCTTCTCTCAAGTGCACCGGTGGAGACGAAGCTGACGATCGCCCCACCCCCACACTATCGTCTAGCGATTGGATCGTCTCTCTTCCGCCACCATCAGAATCTACCACCGCCTCCATGATCGAAACTCCACCAAGCTTTGGTAGGATGAGTCACCTCCAACTTCTTCAGCATGTCGATGTTCCTCAAAAGCATCGATGTTCTGGATTTGGGTTATTGGCGCCTCCACCGACATCTCACGTCTCGATCTTCTCTCAAGTGATCATCAAACACCTGACCCCCACGCCTCCACTCTTCGTCTTCTCTCTTATGCTACCATCATCAGCCGTATCTTCTTATGCCGACCATCATAGCATCGTAATTGCTTCCTTCACTGTCGCTGACAACGAGACGGCTCTGGGTAAAAGTGATAGGAGTCCTTCTCCCTCTTTCAGTGGTAGTCGTCGACGACGACCTCTCCTACCACCTCCGCCATCGTCGTCTACTCGCTATAGAAATCGAGGCTCCACAAAAAACCCCTAAAATCTTCTATTTTGTTCTTCGTTTGAGGCCTAAAGTCGACTGAAACAAATCACTTTCTCCACCTTATGATTACTTGTGATTTATTGGCTAATGCTTCATATTTTTTGCGGTTAGGTAGCGATGGATGGAGCTCACAGACAATATTTAATTGGTTCAGGTACGCCTGTTTTTTCACTCTATATTCCATCGTTCATGAATATGAGCTTCAGAGTTTTGAATCTATACATACCTTTCGACTTTAAAGTTCATATGGTTTTAAAATTCCCAAAAATGATTTTTTTTCACTTGATCAAACTTTATGCATAGGAGAATAATATGTGTTAAATTACTACGAATTTGAATCCATTTGTTTCTGGAAAAGAGAATTTGGCTTGATGATTTAAAGGTTAATTAGAATGGTTGAAACAGCTGCAGATTTCTATTTTAAAGATTGATGATTCATTGGTTGATTTTGTATACTTTTTCATGCTCATTTGCTTGGTTATAGGGCTTCGGTGCATGTGTAGATGTTGTATCAGCAGCTATTGAGAGCTTGGAGGTATGACTACTTTTGCTGGGTATACATATGGTAAAAGCCTCTTCTTTTCCAACTCTGCTTTTGCTCATAGTATGATTAAAAGAATTGTGTAAAACTAATTTCTTGAATGATTAAAAGAATTGTGTAAAACTAATTTCTTAAATGATCAACTCTAGAATGATCCATGCACAACTGCTGGAAGAGGTTCGAATTTGACAGTAGATGGTGATGTTGAATGTGATGCAAGTGTTATAGATGGTTGCTCTGGAGCATTTGGTGCTGTTGGAGAAGTATTAAGATTGCAACTTTTGTTGGTCAATGAGCAAATCTTGGGTTAATCATTGTTGGGTCGAATTCCTCCCATGTACTTAAACTTCTTGTGCATCTAATTTATTGCTGGAACTTTACATTTTACATAAAATGTTACTATTATTAATATTTAATTTACTCAGGTTTTTGGCTGGTGACTGCACATGTTTGCACAAATTCCAAGGGCATTAATATTTTTGAAAAGGCTAATGAGGTAATATATTAAATTATACTAGGGTTAAGTTATTATCACATTTTTACTTGATTTAATACCGAAATATTTCTGTGACAACAGTTTTTCTGCTTAAGTGGCCTATTCTAAAATGTAAGTTTCAATAGAACATAGTGATGTAATTTTTGTATGTTACATACTCTTTGAAGATGACAAACAGGAAGCTGTAGGTGTCATGAACGCTATCAAGGAAAAAAAAACTAAAAGGGATGGGACTCATACAACCTCTTTAAACAATACATTTTAATATATTTTTTTTGTCTTTGTGGGTATGCCGTTTGGAGGTGGGACAAATTTGATGCAATTGGTCATGATAGGGTGGTGGATTGGGTCGGAAACAAAGATTAGCTTATAAAAGCTTTGTAACATTGATACTGATTTTCAGATTGAACATAAATTGACATGGGTCAGTGAAAATCTTTCACTATTGGAAATGTATGGTTGGTGTTTTTACATGGAAAGGAAGTGCGGTAGTAGAAGTGGGTGTACCCAGAAAAAAGAAGACATTTGTATTAGGTTTTCAAATACAACATATCAGTTGCTTTTTGCGATTATCAGACAGTATTTCTGAGACTCATTTTAATTTTCATTGAATTTTGTAGTAGTTTTATAGCCTTTTGCGATTCCGCCCTGCAGGTTTTCAAATACAACATATCAGTTGCTGCTATTTGTCATCATATATGTATCAATAGATGAACTTGCTGTCACAAGGTTATTACATGTATCTCATTCTTCTTATAACTCTTTACATGATGAACTAATTTTAAAGTTATTTGCTCTAATATAAAAATAACTTAAAGTAGATTGTTAATTCTTGTGTTTAGTCCTTACTATGGTTTTATTTTGTATTACGTCGTTATTTTATTTCCATTTCCAATTTGATTTTACTTTCATCTTTGAGCAAATTCAAATGGCTTTGGAAGCTCTCAAGCAGTTTGAATTCACTAAGCCTTTTGATTTTCATTAAATTATTATTGATTTTATGGCTTCTTAAATAGACATAAGCATAACTTTTTTTTACTATGTTTCTTCCCTTATGTGGATAACAATTATGGATGTAATCTCCGCCACCTAACTATTATGATGGCTTCTTAAATTGGTCAGTTTTGATATTATAGTAAATACAAAAAAAAAAACAACTTATTTTCATCATTATACTTTTTTTATTAATATTTCTTTTATTGTTTTGGTCATTAAACTATTAATTTTTAACAATTTAGCCACGTTACTATTATGATGAAAATCGTAAAAAGAAACAGTTCGGTGGCTAAATTTATATAATTGTTTTTTTTTTTTCCAAACTAGGTAACAGGGAAAAATGGTTCTTTATCAACCACTGTGGACTATGGTCATCTTTGCAATTGCTAAATTCTGCTCTTTCTATATGTTGAATGGAAGACTGCACACGATTCAATTTTTTTTGTGTGTGTAATAAAATGGTTGGTCGAGACCTAATTTTGCCTAAATTTTATTTAAACTTATTCATTTTTAGTGTGTCACCTAATCTCATCTTCTTTTTAAAGATTTCTTTTACATTTTTAATAGTCATCCGACTAAACTTTCCTTATGGAGAAAACTAAGATTTACCTGATCATAACGGTCAGTCTAAGAGATAGAAACAAGGTATTGATGCTAGACATTGTTCTGTTTTACGGTTGTTAACAACATGGTTTGACCTCAAATGGATCAATATTCATAGTACACGGACAAAAAGTTTGATTTTTGTTAGTGTTTCTTTCGAATTTTGGTCTGTTTCTTTGTTGGATAATGGTTAATGACGGTCCATTATAAGGTTTAGGTGTTTAGCTTTTCTGTCTAGCAAAATGTGTGGCTGAAAGTATTTGTCTTTCTGTTTTTGTGCGCTCTTTTGATTGGTTTGGGCTCATAATCTCTTTCAGGTATTAGAATTTGAGCCTTTAGCTTTGGTTCTATTCAAAGAATTTGTTATTATTTGCAATTGTATTTTGTTTTGCACGAAACGTCCGAGTCAAACAAATCTGTAAAATGAAGTTCTTTTAATAGAAGAGGGGATTAAGAGTGCCAATGCATTAAAGAAGGTTAGATTTCCCTGATATTTTAAAAACATTTATTTTTAAAATTAATCGATGTAAATAGTTTTCTTTAGCTGCAGCCTGAACTTCATTGAAAAGAGAAGATATTACTCACGATGATTTCCATGTGAGAGTTACACTTAATTCATTGTTTTTCTTTCCAGCTTGACAGAAATGCAAAATACACGTGCAAGCATGGATGTCCACTCAGAAATGCTTACCGCAGTTGATCCACAAAAGAAAGACATAATTTCTTTATGAGAAATGTCTAAACTGCCCTTTTCTCTCAATATGGACTCTTTATTCTGTATTGGAACCAGCGATTTTAGAAAAACCATATTGTAGACTTGGTAGAATTTTGTGTTGTATTTTCTACAACTTTTAAATGAAACTTGAAGGAGGATTACAATCTTTATGTAATATCTGTACACAACAGCTCACTCATCCCTTGAAACACATTACATTTCCTTATCTAGCTTGTGGTTTTCGGTTGCGAAGAATAGCAACATACTTTACTGTGGCTACCAATTCAGCCTACGTAGTATAGTTTCACACAAAAGTGACACCTTCCAACCCCCGCAACGCGGAGGAAACCCTTCTAGTTTAAATTAAAATTTTAAAAGCAAATCTTAATGATAAACTTGAATCCGAACATTTTAATGAATTAAAATCTCTATCCAACTAAACTAGATAAAATGTGTAGTGTAATGTAATTGAAAAAATATATTTCTAAAAAGATATAATAATAAAAGTAATCTTATGTATTATTTAAAAACATCTTTATGTTTACAAATAAAAATGAGGTAGAGAAATAATACAGAAGAGTGATTTCCTTATTTAACTGTAAACACAAGGATTATGATGATGGAGTCATTAAATAAGAAAGAACTATAACATCCTTTAATTCAGATTAGATGTATTAGTATTAAAGAGAATGAAATGTTTCATGTAATTATAATAATTCAAATTTCTTTACTTTGACCATTATGATAAAATAATGTATTATAACAATTTAGCTGACATTAAAATTAATTCAAAGGGGTTAACTCCCATAAAAGTAAACTAAAAAGAAAAAGAATTAAACAATCTGTAATAAATAGTAGGATGTTATTAAATATTTTACGAATGACCATTGGATTCTCCATTTTTTCCATAACTCTCCATCATTATTTAGTATTATTAACCACTATTTCAATGTGTTTTATGACTGTAATAATGCACCATCATAATGTGCGTTCATATTATAACTCACTTTTCATCTTATTTTGATAGTATAAATAATGAACTATATGTATTAGAAAGTTTGATGATTTCATCACTAGTATTGGAATAAAAGCTCTCTACACTCTTATATCTTTCTTTATTTTATAATTTATCTTGTTATTTGATCATATTTTATAACACGTTATCAACACGAATTTACCATAGAGCTCTAATTCCTTATCACTTTTGTCATTTTCAGAGAAATATGGATATTCACAAAAGAAACAAGCAAGATATATATTTTGCAGACAGTGCAACAACACATAATATTTTTAATAATGAAAAATATTTTGCTTACTTGTCAATTGGAGAACCAAATATTAATACAATAACGGATAGTGCAAAAATGATTGAAGGCTCGGAAGAGCGAATATAGTATTACCACAAGGGACAATAGTTACAGTTGGCGATGCATTATTTTCATCCAAATCACCAAGAAATTTATCAAGTAAGGATATTCAATCTAACAGATATCAAGTTGAAACAATTAATGACGATAATAAAGAGTCAAAAATAATATCGAGTAAGAAAAGTCTTTCGGAAAAATTACCCGTATTGTCCTCTAGATTGTATTATACAAATATTAGAATGATTGAATCTCATGCTATTGAAAATAAAAGGTATGCTAACACCTTCAAAGTTTGGCATGACTAGTTGGGCCATCCTGGATCAATAATGATGCGTAGAATAATTGAAACTTCAAGTGGTCATTCATTTAAAAACCAGAAGACTTTTTAAGCTAATGAGTTGTCTTGTGCTACATGCTCTCAAGGAAAATTAATTTCTCGTCCATCATTGAAAGTCCTAGTTTCTTAGAAAGAATTCAAGAGGATATATGTGGACCAATTCATCCGCCGTGTGGACCATTTATATATTTTATGGTTTTAATTGACGCATCAACTAGATGGTCACACATGTGCTTGTTGTCTAGTCGTAATCTCGCTTTTGCAAGATTACTTGCACAAATAATCCGCCCAAGGGCACATTTTCCCGATTACCCAATTAAGAAAATTCGACTTGACAATGCTGGAGAATTTACATCGCAAGCTTTTAATGATTATTGCATGTCGATTGAGATAAGTAATGAACATCATGTTGCACATTTTCATACGTAAAATGGTCTTGCTGAGTCGT